TTAATTAAACCAATACAATTATTATTATTATGGTTATGAATTTTGTAAGATACCTAAGAGAAAAATTTAGTTTAAAATGCTGTTAATTTTGGAAATATTATAAAAGGTTTAAAGAAGTTAAGTGGTATTTAGATTTACAATATAGCCTGAAGAATTTAATGTAAAGTTAAGTAAGTATTATGAAGTTATATTTTAACAAATTGTATATAATGAATAAATATATGAAGTAGATTGTAAACAATGACTAAAATTATGATTCGCATAATTAAAATTAGATAGATTATTTAAATTACTACTTAAAGATTAAATGTAAGAGTTATTCTGTAATGCAAAATATTTGTTATTTATTGAAGTAATTAAGGAGTAATTCTGAATGTTAGAAATGTTACTAGGCTAATTCAACAATTAAGTTAAACTACAGTATCTATTTAAAGCTAAGGTTTTATTTAGATTACAATATCCAACTTATCTATCAAGAATTACATTCATAGGATATGAGAAATTTTTAGAATTAGGAATAATATTATCTTCACTTAGATATACTGGGGGACATATTTAATTCTGAAACAGTGTGAAATTTGTATAAAAATATGCAGTTTAATTCGAAGTTTGCTAAAAAGCAGTATTATTTAATGCTGAAGTTACAGTATAATTAAAAGTTAATTAAGGATAACTTATTGAATTGTTAAAGACATAATCGGATTATGAATAAGTTAGATTAAAAAATTATTCTTCCGAAAGAGTATATAAATTATTGTTGGAAAGTATTATTGATTTTCCATAACTATAACTCTCGCTTAAAGAATATTACTCAGTACATTAAATTGGTGAGGTTAATTCTAACATATAATATAAACTCATATGATATGGTAATAAAGGATTATAAACATAAACAGTGTAATTGCTAAAAGTAACATAAAAGAATAAGTTATCTGATGATATTGTAATATTATTATTAAAATTTACTCTTAATAGATTCTTTACATAGTAGTATTTTGGTAAATTTTACACATTCCAAACTTAAAAGCAAATATTCCTTTGATTATTACATATATAAGATATAATCAATTATTAGTTTACTAAATTTATCTATTTAATTGTAAAATTGACTTGAATCAAGGAAATTGGTATTGGAAAACTATTTTAATCTATTGATATTATTATGACTTCATTAATATTATTGATATATAAAAAAGATGATTATGATTATGTATTTACAACTATTTATATAGGATTGAACTGAATGTTATTGAATAATTTATTTATTGACTATTAATTTAAAGTATAGGTAACTGTATAATTAAATGTTAGTATTTGAATTTCTTATAATAGAATTAGAATTATTATACTGTTATATGTTAAAAGAAAATCTGAGAATTATTATTCAAAAGTATAATTTGAAGTAATTATACTATTTTTATAATTGTAGTACTAAACTAAAGATATATTATTATTATCACTGAGACCAATTATAAGCATAAAAGGATAAATGGTATAGGCAACTTATAAAGAACTTGCATTTATAGAGATGTTAATTGAATTTAATAGTTTTAATTAATAAGAATAGTTGTTGAAGTTAAAAGTGCAAATAGAAATATCAAGTTGTTAATTATTATATCCTATTAAATATCTTTAGGCTGTTTAGAACATTAATGATAAAATTTATATAAGATTGTAAGTCTAATCAATTTTACCAAAATTTGAGAAAGTTATTGGATTAAAATTAAAATAGGGTTCATTTTTATTTAAAGTATAATGTAATAATTAACCTGAATAACCATAAAAACCAACTATTTGAGAATATCTTTACCATAATTATAAATTGGCAAACCCTTAATTATACATTACATAAATATTTGTATCTTACTATGATAGTATTTAAAGATTTATATTAATTAGACTAATATTATAAGTCTTATTATAATTGAAACACATTAAATTAAAGAAGGATTAATTTAGTTGAGATTCAGAATTGGTCAAATTGATCTATATGGATGGCTGTGAAATTTAATAAACAACAATTTCTTTATCAAATTAAAATAATTCATTATCATTATTGAGATATACTTTTTAATTGTTTTGATTATTTTGATAAAAGTAATATGTTTATGTTTTTTCCTAAAACAAAATAGCAGTTTCATTAATTGATTTATAGATTATAAATTCAGCATTTTAGAGTATATTCTCAATAAACTGACAATTGTTAAATGGGCAATTATTATTTTATAACATTATTTAACTTTCACATCCAAATAATTTAGCCACTTTAAATTCTGATGAGTTTTTCTACCCTTTGTTAAATAATAACAATATTTAATCACATTAAGAGTAGTTCTAAAAATTGTAATAAACATTAATAGTTGTAAAATTATTCATATAGCCAAGATCGCTAAAATTATACATAAAATTAAATTAAGAATCTGAAGATATTGAAAATTAGTATAACTCTGAAGAAGTAATTGCATAAATATTGGGACTTATTGTAATTGGTATATCAAAATCGACAAATTAGTTCTATAAACTACTTAAATTAAAAAATGACGATGAAAATAGTGTAAGTATTGAATAATTCTTAAAATATTAGGCATATACAATAAAAGTATTTGTTCCATTTACAATTGATTATATCTTAGTTGAAGTAGGTAAATTTGACTAATTTAAATAAGCAATAATTGATTATCCATCTATTAATTAAATAAATAAGATTTCATTGTTGTAATAACAATCTACTAAGATTGTATAATTGAAAAACAAATTGATATTAAAACAATTATACAAAATATCAATAGACATAGATAATCCAACTTATTGAATCATTTAATTCTTCCATTCATATATAATTACTTCATTATTATTAGATAATGTACCAAAATGTGTATTATTTGATGACATTGATATATATGCTATAATAATAATCTTAATGACTTACAATTCCCTTATATTTTGTATATTTCTTCATATTAATTGACTACTTTCACATTTGGAATTTAAGGATGCATTTTGCAATTTAATTAGGATGATGGTAAAATATTCTCCATATGATATTCATAAAATTCTCCTACAGTTGGGTACAAAGCAATTGCCAACTCTGTAACATTTTCAGAACAAATTTTCAATACATTGATGACGAAGATTAGGATGATCATTGTATTAAAAATATTAATGAATTTTCATATTGTTATATAATTGTGAAATTTTGAAATCTTATATATATTATGGTCTTTCAAATTACTTTTAGATTTGATATCTATATTGATTATCCAATCAAATGGACCACGTTCAATATTAAGGTTAATGTAATTAAAAATGAATAACTTTTTAAAGTTTTGTTCTGCTTTTAATACTAAATTGAGAATCCGACAGAAAATACATAATAAGTAAATTAGATCATCAATTTGATTATCCAATAAAGTCAATGAATATCAGAATTCTAATTTAGCTTTACTTATTTTCGAGAAATGATAATCTTAAATTCCAAAAATAAAAGATGAATAAATTTTATTATTTATAAATTTTATAATAAAAAATAAAAATAATAAATATTTATAATAAAATGATTTAAGTTTAGACAATTAAATCAAAGCCTTATCCTTCTCGATCTAAGCCGAATTCTTATTATGAGAAGATGCTGATTAATTTCTCATAAATTTTCTACTTTATATTAATTCCTGTTGCTATATATTTTTACTCATCCAAATCACC